GCCTTGAATCCTGATCCTCCTGCTCAGCCTCCCAAGTGCTGGGATTACAGGCATGTACCACCATGCCGGGTCTGCACATTACTCTTGGCAAAGAAGAAAGAGCCTAAACAGAGTGTCACAGATAATCTAGAGGCAAGGCAAATTTGTGTCTCTCTGACTCCATCTCTGTCTCTCCTTAGATGGAAGAAACTTGGGAGTATTTGTAGCAAGAGGAAGGAGGCAAACAAATGAGAGCAGAGAACGATAGTATGGATGTCTGAGACCCAGTTCTGGCTCAGATGGTATTTGGTGCACAGCAAAGCACTTGTACTTATTTGCTGTCAGATGACAAGTGCTGAACAATCAATCTTTGTCATTATCCTACATCATGGCAGGATGGCCTCTTCCCATGGGCAAACCAGTGCTGTGTGCTGGGCCCAGTCCCTAGATGAACTCTATCTACTCCTTTTACTTTTTGAAGAAAACAGATCCTAATGCAAATGACACCCTACCACTTTGGCATGACCCCAAATGTGCAGAGACCCAGGATGAGACTCATTCTTGAACATCAGTGTTTGAGTACTGACAGCAACTGAGTGAGAGCACATTCAGTGCCCACCACCTGTGGCCAAGAACCACCGTTTAAATTGATGTTCCAGTTCTCTGGTCCAAGAGTCAAAGAACATATTTCATCAGAGCTTCTGAACTCTGAGAAAGAATAGTAATGATGGGCAAAGGAGAGGCCCAGCAGCCTTGAGGCCACTCCACCATTCAGCAGACTCTACCTACCCCACACTGCCCCTTCAGACCACCCCATCCCTACTCTTCTTATTGTCTGTGCCTACTTTTAGTCTCTGTTTTAGCCATAAATACAACAATTCAGGCTGGGCACCAGTGGCTCACACCTGTAATCCTGGCTACTCAGGAGTCTCAGAGATCAGGAGGATCACAGTTCAAAAAGCCAGCCAAGAACCCTTTCTGGGTCACCATGAAAAAAAAAAAAAGCCAGCCAAGGCAAATAGTTCATGAGACCCTATCTTGAAAAAACTCATCACAAAAAAAGGGCTGATGAAGTGGCTCAAGGTGTAGGCCGTGAGTTCAAATTCCAGTACCACAAATAAAATAAATAAATATATTCAGGCTACTGTCATCATTGAACTTAAAGACCTTTAAAGTCCTAAGTAACACTGTGGCATTCTTCCCTTTGGGTTATTAACTAAATTTTTTTCTTTTTTGCAGTACTGGGGTAGTACTAATTCTTAATGTGGTTTCTGCCTTGTTTGTTTTGTTTTGTTTCGTTTTTTCCTTTTGTTTTGTTTTTTGGTGGTACTGGGGTTTGAACTCAGGGCTTCATGCTTGCTAGGCAGGTGCTCTACCACTTGAGCCACTCCACCAGCCATCTACCTTGTTTTTTTAAATACTTTTTCTCAATTATATATTGGTAGTAAATTATATTTTCTCATATCTCTTGGAAATAAAAAGTTAGTAAAGAATTCATTTTTAAAATTATTATTGAAAGAATTTCTTTACCATGTCTCTTCAAGTGGTCTTTGTAGGTTTTGTGGTAGATGCAATTCTGGGTACTTTTAGTGAGTGGAAGGGTTAAAATACCCAGTGCTGTCACATATGGCAGTGAACAGAAGCACAGATGTTGATGATACCACGTAATTAGTATTCTTTTATGTAAATGAAGGCTGTCAGCATGTTACCATAGCGTCTACTCTCTCTGAAGCAGGAATTTATGCCACTTGGTCTCAACAAGATCAAGCAGGATTACTCCATGGTCCTTAGTTAAGAACTGAGAAAAAAAAATATGAGAGAGACGGAAAATAGAAACCTCCTCCATATTGTAGATTCCCCCTTTTTCCTATTTTGTTTTTGTTGAAATTTTATTTCTGATGATAGTTATTAATTCAAGATGTGATAAGAAATTTGCTGTTTCAGACTAATTAGAATAATCCAACTGAAAATCGTATTTTCAAGCCTATAGATTTTTTTTACAGTGATAATAATGTTCATACAGAGACTTTTAAAAATGATGGGATAAATCTGGAAGTTCCTCATCATAAGAAAAGTCAAAAGTTGAAAAGATTTCATTATCTTCCCATTTAATACTTAGTGATTTTTATAACAGAATTATTTAAAATAGTGATTATGATTTTTAGCTCCAGTTTTTCAGATTTTTTAAATAAAACTATGGTAATTAAAAAAGCAAATGCTAATATTTTGTCACGTTTACTTTCCCCATATGCAAATCAATTCAGGGTGTGCAGGGCATTTATAAATAAAGGGCTGATCTATTTAAAATGTAGAACTATTCAGCCAAATCCTGTTCTTTCCCAATTACACTTCATTGCTGTCTCTTTTGAATACTGGGTACCTGTCACACTGGATGGTGTATGTTTTAAGTGGAATGTTAGAATTATCATGACCTTTGAGGATATGCAGGGAAATTGTACAGGTCAGAAATATACAATAGAATTCCTCTTTCTGTTAGCAGGCATGAGGCCTTGTTCTGAAATAATGTGGTCAGAGCATGTATGGGAGGTGAGTTAAACCTGTTCTTTCTTGAACTGAGCCTATCTGAGATATGTTCTTTTTGTTCTTTATCTTACATATTGGTTAAGGTAGTGTTTTTCTTTTGTGTCACTTTTGGGAGATTTCCATTTCATGATCCGATATCATTTTTCCTCTAGAGAAGCCAGTCTGCCTAGCTTAGATCATTGGTGAGGTGCAAAGTAGCCCTGTGTTTTACTGAATGGATTTACTCTGCCATATGGCAGGTTAGTGAGTCACCAGGACAGATATGTAATGGGAAAAGGAAATGTGCAGGAAAGGATGTGCATGATCAGCAGATTTATAGATCAGAAAATGAAATCAGAAGAATTTCCAAAGTTCCGTTTCTGTTTGACAGGTCTGCACAGAGAGGGTGTGGGTTGGCTTTTTAGTGTTTTTCCAATTTGGCTTTTGGGCATTGCAGAATATTTTCTCTAGCACAGGAGGTGATTCTGTAAGGCATCAGTGCTCTGGTGTTGTATTGCTATATTCCTGTTTACAGAAATACTCCCTCTTTGTAGGATGTGACTCTCTGCTGTATTTCACAGGATAAGATCTTGGTGGCAATTAAATTCTGGAAGATCCACCAAGGCAAAAATGGATTTGCCACACATAAGGTTTTGAGTTATAAGAAGAGTCTATTCAGCAAGTACTAACTCTTTCAAAGGAAAGAAAAACAGAAGAGCAGAGTGAGCTAAAGACAGTATGTGCTGTGTCTTAAAACCACAGCCACTAGCCACATTTCAAATGCCTGGTGATTACATATTACTAGTTACTGTGATATTGGACAGCAGAGATAGGGAATATTGCATCATTGCAGAAATTTCGATTAGACAGCTGGGAGGAATTTGAGAAATAAAATTCTTTTTTTTGGCAGCACTGGGGTTTGAACTCAGGGCCTCACACTTGCTAGGCAGGTGCTCTACCACTTGAGCCACTCCACCATCCTGAAATAAAGTTTTCTTTGATTTCTGAGTTTGTCATCCCTAACTTACTGGATTAATGCAGTGGTTCTAGGGTTTTGGTGGGACTTAGGCCTTAGTGCTTACAAAGCCGGCACTCTACCACTTACGTCATGCTTCCAGCCCATTTTCTTCTAGTTATTTTGGAGATGGGGGGGTCTCAGGAACTATTTGCCCAGGCTGGCCTTGAACCATGATCCTTCCGATCTCCGCCTCCCAAGTAGCTAGGATTACAGGTGTGAGCCTGGTCTATTCCATCTTTTTAATGTATATGTGTTTTGATTTTCCTGTGCCATAAGAAAAATAAGCAAAAATAGTTGAGTTCTGTTTCTGACTGTATGTCAGGGTAATTGTTTGGTACTGGAGATTAAGTCCATGTGCTCTATCAGAGCTATATCCCCAGCTCTTTGGGAGAGAATTCTGATAATATTTTTTCCTTTTTCTTTTCTTTTTTCTTTCTGTGGTGCTGGGGCTTGAACTCAGGGCCTACACCTTGAGCCACTCCACCTGTCCTTTTTTTGTGATGGATTTTTAGAGATAGGTTTGCCTGGGGCTGGGTTCGAACCTCTATCCTCCTGATCTTTCCCTCCTGAGCAGCTAGGATTACAGGTGTGAGCCACTGGTGCACAGCCTGATAATACTTTTTGATCACTAAGAGTTGAGCACTCATAGGTCTTGGCATTATAAGAGAATAAAACAAATATAACACGTGATTTCTCAGAAGGAGATTATATCTAGTCAGAAAATGGATAAACACATCCAGAGAAATTAGTGATTTGTGTGTTACCACTGTTTAAAAAAGCATCTTCATATATGCCATCTGGCAAACCTCTTGCTTTTTTTCTTTTGTCTTGGTAGCTAAGTTAAATACAAAAATTCCAGTAGTCACTCCACCTCTTGTCCTAATTCCTTTCTTACCTATCTTTAGTAAAGAAGGTGAAATTCTCCCCATTCTTTCTATAAGATGTAAATGTTCCCCTGGCACCAGTGGCTCACGCCTGTAATCCTAGCTACTTGGGAGGCTGATATCCATAGGATCATGAGACCCCATCTACAAAATAACTAGAGCAAATGGACTGAAGGTGTGTCTCATGTGGTAGAGCACCTGCTTTGCAAGGGCCAAGTTCAAAACCCCAGTCCCACCACACACTCAAATATGTAAATGTTCTTTTCAGAAGGACACATTTAAAGTGGTATTTAAATTGAGGCTCAAGGTGTACCTCCTTAGTTGTCATAAAAGTGATATTTTGTAGAAAACGCTTGTCTTACCTTTACCTTACCCTGTATCTCTGCTTTGAATTACATTGTAATCAACCTGAGATTGCCCTTTTGTTTGAGTTTCTTCATCTCTCCTACTGGTATTTGAAACACCAGAAAACTTCAGCTTTCAAAAGGAACCAACTTTGAATCAAAAACTAATGAGTTTTGAGTTGAAATGCCCTCTCTATAGGAGAATATTTTGCTCAAAGTATTTTTTTCTTTGGGGGGGTGGTGTGGTGCCAGGTTAGGAGAGTGGCGACCGCTCTGAGACATGGATAGATGCAAACATGTGGGGCGGTTACGACTCGCCCAGGACCACTCCATCCTGAACCCTCAGAAGTGGTGCTGCCTGGACTGCGGCACCACCGAGTCGGTGTGGGCCTGCCTCAAGTGCTCGCACGTGGCCTGCGGCCGCTACATTGAGGACCACGCGCTGAAACACTTTGACGAGACGGGGCACCCGCTGGCCATGGAGGTCCGGGATCTCTACGTGTTCTGTTACCTGTGCAAGGACTACGTGCTCAATGACAACCCGGAGGGGGACCTGAAGCTGCTGAGAAGCTCCCTCCTGGCGGTCCGGGGCCAGAAGCAGGACCAGCCGGTGAGACGCGGACGGACGCTGCGATCTATGGCTTCGGGGGAGGACGTGGTCCCGCCGCAGCGCACTCCTCAGGGACAGCCGCAGATGCTCACGGCTCTGTGGCACCGGCGCCAGCGCTTGCTGGCCAGGACGCTGCGACTGTGGTTCGAGAAGAGCTCGCGGGGCCGGGCGAAGGTGGAGCAGCGGCGGCGGGAGGAGGCGCTGGAGCGCAAGAAGGAGGCGGCGCGGCAGCGGCGGCGCGAGGTGAAGCGGCGGCTGCTGGAGGAGCTGGCCAGCACCCCTCCGCGCAAGAGCGCGCGCCTGCTGCTGCACGCGCCCCGCGCCGGGCCCGCCCCGCGCCCCGCCGCCCTCGCCGCGCCTCGCCGCGCGCCCGCCAGCGCCAGCGCCGCCCCGCTCAAGCCGCGCCGCCTGCCCACCGTGGCCCCCGGCGTCACGGGCCTGCGCAACCTGGGCAACACCTGCTACATGAACTCCATCCTCCAGGTGCTCAGCCACCTCCAGAAGTTCCGGGAATGCTTCCTGAACCTCGACCCTTCCACCTCCGAGCACCTGTTTCCCCAAGCCACCAACGGGAAGCCTCAGCTCTCGGGCAGGCCGCCCAGCGGCTGCGCCTCCGCCCCCGAGCTGTCAGCCAGAAATGACAGGGCCGACGCGTGCGAGCGGGAGGGCCTCTGCTGGAACGGGGCCTCCATCAGCAGGAGCCTGGAGCTCATCCAGAACAAGGAACCCAGCTCCAAGCACATTTCCCTCTGCCACGAACTGCACACCCTCTTCCGAGTCATGTGGTCCGGGAAGTGGGCCCTGGTGTCGCCCTTTGCCATGCTTCACTCGGTGTGGAGCCTGATCCCTGCCTTCCGCGGCTACGACCAGCAGGACGCACAGGAATTTCTCTGCGAGCTCCTGCACAAAGTGCAGCAGGAACTCGAGGCCGAGGGCTCCACTCGTCGAATCCTCATCCCCTTCTCCCAGAAGAGGCTCACCAAGCAGGTCTTAAAGGTGGTCAACACCATATTCCACGGACAGCTGCTCAGTCAGGTGAGTGTCGGCCCGCCCCACCCTGGCCCCACCCCGCCCCCGGAGGGAGACTCGGGTGGCAGTTGGGCTCCCTGTGAAGGCCTCGAGGGATTCCTGGGCTGGTGGGATAACCAACATTTTCTGGGATTGTGCAGGTTTGAGGGTGGCCGCTGTACCTGTTGTTATACACTGTGATGGTTGGTGAACTTGCTTACTCTTCCTGGGCAGGTTTTTAGTGTGCCTGGTCATAGCACCTTATTTTCAGTGAATGTCTTTTAACTGTTACTGAAGATATGGGTAATACAGTATTCTCATTGTTAGAATTGCCCATTGTTGCCATCCCGTCCTTTAACTAGATTGGGAAACTGAACAGTTTACCTGTAAGCTTGCTTATCGTAGTTTGAAAGAGCATTCTTCCTTTTGCACCTGCAAGGAAGGGCGTTGGCTGGGAGCATGGTACAGGTCTAAGCAAGGCTCTTTCCTGTTCCCTAGCACCTTTCATTCCCTGGATCTTTAGCCGTGTTGGGAAAGATTCTTAGGTAAGGACTTAGGAGAATGTGCAGAATGGGAATTTTTATAGATTTTAGGAGATGTGTAAAACCACTACACTGAAATACTGAGGTTTTGCTTTGGCTTTTTGCTTTTTTGAAAGACTGATGAGTAGAATGGAAAAAGAAAGTTTATTGAGGCTTAAAAAAAAAGTACGAAGTCTAATCACAGCACTTTGAGTCTGCAGATAGAGGGATAAGGGTAGGGGTACTGCAAGAATGAAGGGCAAAAAGAGGCCCATTGATTGCAGAGAATGGCCATGGCAAGAGGAGGAATTCCAGGGTGAGAGAAGCAGCCACCTGGCAGCTCTCTCCGACTGACTCCTTGAATGCCTCCACTGTAACTGGCAGTCCCTGCTGCTGCAGCCTTTGGTGGGAGAGCAGGCTTTGGTAATGGAGAAGAGAGAGCACCCTGGGTGTAATGTCTGTGCTCTCCAATATGTAACTAGTTTTACATAGTTAGAAATGTGCACCAGATGTAATATGCTACAGTTCTCTTAATTAAAGTTCTGTCTCATTTTTAAAGTTAATTTTTCATGTTTTGTTTTTTGAGACAGGGTCTTTCTATATAGCTCAGGCTGGCTTCAAACTCCAGATCTTTCTGGCTCAGCCTCTCAAATAGTGGGATTACAGGTGTGCACTACCAGTGCCCTGTTTGTTATTTTAATATGATGTTTTTTTTAAAATTATATACCTACTTTTGGTAAAGTGATGTGTCCTATATAAAGCAAGCAAAATTGCATGTGGGAAGCAATGGAAACTACATTAATCTTCAAACCAATCTCTTCGTTCTAGGTCACGTGTATATCATGCAATTACAAGTCCAATACCATTGAGCCCTTTTGGGATCTGTCCCTGGAATTCCCTGAACGCTATCACTGCATAGAAAAGGGGTTTGCTCCTTTGAATCAGACAGAGTGCCTGCTCACGGAGATGTTGGCCAAGTTCACTGAGACAGAGGCCCTGGAAGGGAGAATCTATGCTTGTGACCAGTGTAACAGTGAGTACTATGTGGAAAATTGGGCATGGGGAGGCAGGGTTACACCTGTAAGATAATTGAAGGTGCTGCTTTGGCCCCAAAAGTAACACTGAATAAATTGTTTAAACCATCTTTTAAAGAGCTTTTCTTCCCCACTTTCTGAAAATAAGCAATATGAACTTTTTGTATTAAAACAAAGGCCTAGGGCTCAGGAAGTAGCTCAGCAGTAGAGCACTTGCCTAGCATGCACAGGGTCCTAGGTTTGATCCCCAGCAAAAAAAGGAAAAGGCCTAGGAGGTATGCCTCCTTTGAACCCTTCTGATTGACATTAGTTGTTACTAGGTGTGAAGTATGTGAAAGTGGCTCCTGAAACATGGGCTCCGAGAATGTTTGTACTTAGCTCCATAGTGCTGCTGGAGCCCTGCTTAAGTTCGTGAATGTAGAGCCTGACAATTCTTATTTGATCTACATTCAGGTGGCACAGCCTGCTTGCTATAGAATCAGAAAAGTGTGTTTTTGTATTGAGTCAGTAGATTTAAAGTCTATCACAAGTGATGCTCATGATTGGTACACTAGGACCAAGCAACAGATTCAGGTGCTCAGGGTAGTCTCATGAACATTCTCTGCATTGTTTTTTCCTCACAAGCATTTGCATTTCAGAGAAAAATCACAAGTAAGAATTTCTGTGTCATTGCTTTAATTTTAAGTTGGGTTGCATGGCTACCTGAGTGTCTTACGCAGGGCTCTTCTGTCTTGCCATGTTAACAGTTAATGCTTCTGCTAAGCCAGCATGATCAGAGAACATACAGAGCAAATACGTGGAAAGTCATGTTTGGTTTTAATGGCATATAAAGATTCAGGAACTAAAAATGTAAAATTAATGGATGGTGCAAGGACCATTCAAAGCCATGAAACAGTTTGGATTATAAGTTTTGGAAAAATCGTTATTATTAATGCAGTGCTAGGGATCAAATTCAGGGTCTCACATATGTTTGGCAGGTACTAAACCACTGAGCTACATCCCCAGTCCTGAAAAAAAAATCTTACAGTAGCACTTAATATATTTTCCACATGGTTTTTTAAAATAGTAACCTGTAGGAAACCTGTTCTTTGAAGAATCATGATAAAAGTCAGGCAAGAAATACTCTTCTTTGTTTTTATGAAAAAGGATTGCTTTTCTGGTTGCCTGATGTAGCAATTTATCAGGATTGCTAATAATAGCAGGGAAACAAAACCATGGTGAAAGAATGAGATACATTGATCTGTTACTTGCAAAGTTTCCAAGTCATCAGTCTTCTGTGTGTCTGTGAGGCTACCTTAATCAAATAGAGACAGAACTGGCCAATCCCAATTGAATCAGTAATTTCTTTTTCTTTGTGGATTTCATTTTAGGGAAACAAAGCCGGATTCTACATTGTCTTCATCTTAGCTCACATACTCCCTCTGCTGAGGGTGGCAGTCACTGCCAGGTTCCCAAGCAGAGCTGCAGTCATTTTCAAAAATCTGGTGATCAGGAATGGAAAACAGGGCCAGGTCCCTCTTTGACACTCCTTCTGTCTGTGCCCTGACATGTCATGAGTGCGTGCCCTGGGCAGATTCTCTGCGTGCATACATCTTCTGATGCAATCCATTACGAGCAGCAATATCCCCACCTCCTGTTGTCACAGAAAACTATGATATGCCATCAGGACACTGAGACCGTGGTAGCAACAGCTCAGACACAATTAGCAGGCACCTCAGTAGAGCACTATTTTATATTCCCATCCATTCACCTTTTATCAGCAAATAGTTATAGAGAAGGCTTCAGGTGCAAATTAAGAACACTTCATTTCCTCTGTTTATTTACTAAAAAATTTAGAAATGCATTTCCCCTTTAGAAATAAAATTAGAATCAGAGCGCTGGTTCTGACTTAGCTGTCCTGCACGTCTAGTACGTATGCTTTTATCCAAGAAGCATGTTTCATAAATGAGGGATAGCATAAAAACATAGAACCAGCAAAGTTTTATTTTCTGAACATTTGTATGTGCCCCCAAGCACATACTGAAAAAAATCTGTTCAAATATTCTGTCTCTAAGCCAGATGTGATGGCACATAGCTGTAATCCCAGCACTCAGGAGGCAGAGGCGAGAGGATCACAGGTTGGTGACCAGCCTGGGCTCCATAGTGAGACCCTGTCTCAAAAAAAAAAGAAAAGAAAAAACACAAGGGAGAGAAAGTATACAAATATTCTGTCTTTTAGTAAGCTTATCCTTTTTATCTTTGCTCCTACGCCTTAAATATATGCAGTATTGGCCTATTTACTGGTGAGAGAACTGAGGTTTAGAGTTTTAGATAACTTGCTCATTTAGCAAACAACTAGCTATGAGCAGGAAATGAGTTAGGCCTGTCTGGCAAAAACAAAAGGCCTTTTAAAAGTTATATTATACTACATCATAATGTAAGTGATAAATATATTAAAGGCTTGGCACCCTAGTATGTTCAACTCTTTGTGCACACTGTTCAGTGACCATCCATTATAAGCCATCAGTAAATCCATCCATCGATAACTCCGTAGCATCTGGAGTATACCAACCCAATTGCTGATGGCAAAAATTTGAAAATAGATATATTGGGATTAGATTTGGTTGCTTGTAACAGTCAACCCAAACATCAGTAAATTAAAATGAGATAAAATTTTATTTTTCTGTTATTAAAAGAAGTCTGGAGGACATCTAGGAGCTGTCATGTAGCTGAATGCTCATTAGGGACCCATGTTTCTTTTTTCTGTTTTAATATCCTAGTACAAGGCTTCCATCCTCATTCAAGGTTACTTTGTGGCCCCAGAGGAACTCTGGAATTCTAGCAAACTGTGGAAAGAACAAAGGGATGAATCTTCAGCTGAGTCAGTCCCTTTTTTTTTTTTAAATGGTACTGGGATTTGAACTCAGGGCCTTGCTAGGCAAGTGCTCTATCACTTGAGCCATGCTTCCAACCCCTTAAGTATTTCAGATAGTTCTTACACTTTTTGCCCCAGTCAGCTTCAGACCACAGTCCTCCTATCTTTGCCTTCCAAGTAGCTGAGATTACAGGAGTGTACCACTGTACCTGGCCTTGAGTCAGCCGTCTTTAAGCAGCCATCCCCAGTGCCACACAGTCCTTTCAGTCTTAGCCAGAAGTCCAGAGCTGGACCATGCAGAAATGTGAGGCTAGGAAAAGCAGTCTTGGAAAGGGTCACATTGCTACCCACCCCTAAATGGAAGATCAAGTATTGAGAAATAAGAATGTATATTTATTTAGTGTCAAGTCACTGTCTCTGTCATAGCTAGGAAAGAATGAGTTTCCTCATACTCAGCCTATGTCTTATACCTTCCCAAATCATGTAGGCAAACGACGAAAATCCAATCCAAAACCCCTTGTTCTGAGTGAAGCTAGAAAGCAGTTGATGATCTACAGACTACCTCAGGTCCTCCGGCTGCATCTTAAAAGATTCAGGTGAGCTTGCTTTGAGAGTTGCAGGTGACTCTGAGCTGTGGGACTAACTGCCTCAAAGGCTTGGAGAGGACAACTGTCATCTTTAGTGTTGGGAGGATGTTAAATATTTCATGGGGAGTAAGGCAAGCTGATGTTGAGGACAACAGGACTGGGCTTCTGCTCTGTGGCCCTGTTTCATTGTCAAGCCTGCACTGGGTGTCTGTGCTTGAAGCTCATCTACCCTTGTTTGGACTTAGGAGCTCATCTTCAGGATGAAGTGTAAAATAATCTATGGAAAGGGCAGGGCGGAAACGTAAACAGACTGTTGCCTGAATTGCTTGTTTGGGCATTTCTAGGTGTGAGTACTTGGTAGAACATTCACAGAAAATGTATGTGGACATTGATTATTACCATTTTATTGATGGGAACACCAAAGCTGAAAGGTTACGTTTTCTCACTTCTCTGATTACCTAGTTCTACCCATGGTCACATATACCAGTCTTCGCTAGTAAGAAATTTGTGTTCATGTTCTAGGTGGTCTGGCCGTAATCATCGAGAGAAGATTGGGGTCCATGTCGTCTTTGACCAGGTATTAACCATGGAACCTTACTGCTGCAGGGACATGCTCTCCTCTCTTGACAAAGAAACCTTTGCCTATGATCTCTCCGCAGTGGTCATGCATCACGGGAAGGGGTTTGGCTCAGGACACTACACAGCCTATTGCTACAACACAGAGGGAGGTGCGTGCGCTTTACTCTGTGGGGTGGGGGACACGGAAAAGGGTTTGTTTGTTCACATTTTTTTGCTTTCCTTTTATTTCCATCCCCTGGGTCACCTAGGGGGAAATTATATACATTAAATCCAGTGGAAAGAATTATGATAGTTGGATTAGTTTTGGCTATATACTAAGTAACAACATAAGGTTGTTCTAAGGATCAAAAGGAACTGACTCTTGTAGAAGTGCTTACATCAGTGCCTAGCACATTACTGTTGCTATGGTAGTGCTACTGCAGACCTCAGCCTCCTTCTTGGTTAGGCTGTGAATCTCACTAGCCTTGCTCAGAATAAAGGTGAGAACATTATTCAGCCCTTTCAGTGTCTCACTGCCTCCCTTACCCTGGGAAGTGTGGGGGGAGCATAGGCTCCTCCACAGGAGCTTTCAGTCCTTGTCCCCTCCCAGCTACTGTCCTGAGTCAAAGTTGCTGCAGATGAGTTTTCAGTAGTGCCCTGGGGGCAGCCAGAGCCTGTGAACAAATACCTTTCTTTCCTGTTAGTTTACATTATCACTCCTTTCTATTTCCAGTTCTCCTCCTCTTCCCCTTGCTTAGTCCCCAGTATCTTGGCTGGCTTTGTGGAAGGTTCTAAGGGACAATGAAAAAGGCCAAGCAAAACAGGGACAAAATTTACACTCATTTGATACTATGAGCAGTCTTTGTGGTTGAATTTGATGGAGATAAAGCCAGTGGTTACAGGGAATTTGGCTTCATTCACTTGACCCTTCCCTCCCCACCAGTAATCAAAGGGTGGCTCTATTCCAAATTCCTCTGTCCCTTTCTTCATCTCCTGGTTTTGCTGCTGACTGGAAATATAAATTGAGTAGTCATTTTCTCTCTCTTTCCTTCGATTTCCTAGGTTTTTGGGTCCACTGCAATGACTCAAAGCTGAATGTATGCAGTGTCGAGGAAGTGTGCAAAACCCAGGCCTACATTCTTTTTTACACTCAAAGAACAGTGCAGGGCAATGCAAGAATCTCAGAACCCCAACTTCGAGCTCAGGTGCAGTCCAGCAACAAGGATGAAAGCAAACCACAGCCGTTCCCCTGACGGAGGCACATGTCAAAGACTGGCTTGCTTTGAATCTATTGATGCCCATACATCTTTCCTCTCATAGGAAAGAAGACTTACTGCAGGAACAGATTACTGGGTTTGCCTCACTGGGTCTAGAATAGAAGGTGCTAGGTGATTCCTGTCCTGTCATAAAATTTGTAGTCACTTTGTTTTGAATGCATTTGGAAATTCCCTCCTTTCATAAAACGAATCAAAAGGAGTAACTTCTATGAAGATTCTTTTGTCAGTTGCTTGTGAATATAGAGGGATCTGGGTGGAGGAAAGGGGAAGAGCAGGCATGTCTTCTCTTTGTTATGTGAGCCCCTACTAACAGGACCTCCTTGTAGCACCACAAGAATGCTCTCAATGTGAGCAGTGCTGGACAGAGCCCATGAGGTAGGGCCTTTGGCTGGCAGCTTGCTAGATGGGATGGTTCCAAGGTGTGATTTATTCCCACAAAGGAAGTGAACTTCAAGGGTCGAAAACTTGCATACTTCCTTTTTTAAGGGATAGCAATTGAAGAGTAGAATGAGATGCATGAAGCGATTTCCCCATGTAGAATGGGAGGGCTTTCATATGTCGTCCCCTCCCTGGCTGCTGCTGCTATTCAGTCAACAGTTCAAGTAAGGAAGCTATAGAGTAGCACATGTTCTTTGTTGTATGCTAAGCCAAAGGGCATTCCTGGCTCTTCCAGTTCTGTAGCAGATCCCTGGTTCAGGTCAAGGACAAGCTTGTGGTTTGCCTTAGGTTGGTCTGTGGGTCAGTTGTCTGAGGTTTTCTCAGGATGAGCAGGGCTTACTGCCCATTCTTGATGTACAGGCAGGTTCTTTGCCTGCAGCTTCTTTCTCACACCTGGAGAATGAGCAGAGCATTGGTGGTCACAAGGTATGGGAACTTTTGCTCTCCTAGGGTGTGGTTATTGCTTAGGAATCTACTTCTGTGTGTCCAGTTTATTGCTGATGGCCCTGACCTGTTCCTTTCCATTCTGCTACCCTCAACTGTTGCTTTCACCCACCTGTCCTCAGTTCATCAGACAGAAAAGCAAAAGTGCCCTGTACTTTTCTCTGGTGCTAGTGAAATATATCTTTCTTTTTTAACTGGTTGAGTTTCTAAATGGAATGAGACTGTCTGGACAAACCCTTCCTCCCTATCAGGCACCAGTTTCCCTTCTCAGTGCTTCACTCACACTTGCCAGTGCAGCTGAAGGCAAGCCCCAGCTCTCATTGCAGTGACTGCCACAGTGAGCCCCAACCTGTTCTTGTGGGTACTTATCTTTTGACTGAGTATCTCCTATTAAGGTTTGAACTCTGGTAGAAGTACAGTTGTCACTTGAAGGGAGTAGGTGTGGAGGGAGTTTGGGGAGGGTGGGAAGTGGGGAAAGTGAGGCTGAAGGAGGTCTTAGCTTTAGCAGTTATCATGAGCCACATTCCCAAACACAAGGGTAGCATTCACCATTGACCTCATTTGGGATGGATGCTCCTGTAGGACTGACACGTGGAGGACATTCAGACGGAAAATGGCTCACCCTGATAGGGAAGGAGTGACTATATTTTTAAACTTGCTTTTTCCAACACTGTGAGGTTTCTGTAATACTTAGCTTTTATTTGGAAGCGATAGCGTATGGCATTTTTATGCTATTTGGTTTATATTGTCTACTGCATGCTTCTCTGTACAAGCTCTGCCTGGGCTCCCCTTCTCCTGGACACTGTTTTAAAGTGTCCCAGCTGCCCATGGTGCCAGAGGCTCTGATAGGAAGCTGTACTCTTGAGGCCCACCTTTCTAAGTTGGCATGACTAGTAATGATTTGTTGTGGCAATTGGAAATTATAAGTACATGCCTGTAATTCTACTCAGGAGGTAGAAGCAAGAAGATTGCAAGTTCGAGGTCAGCCTGAGCTATATAGTGAGACCCTGTCTCAAAAACAAGCACAAAAAGAAAAAGCTACGGAGAATAAAACTGAAAGGAAATTGAATCGTGCCTCATTTTGAATCCTATGTTTATTATTCTAGAAAGAGAACTTCAAGATAGAGAAGGAATAATAGAGCATCTGCTTCACCCCTCCGACTGTCCAGAGGGTAATACTTATTTAAAAACATAAAAATGTAATGGAAAGTTAAAAGATCTTCAAATTTAACTTTTAAAAATAGTTTTATGCCAAATACTATAAAAATTGTTAAGCAGATTAAGGACTTTGTTTAAAAAAAATGCTTAACTTAGCTGAGCACCCATATATCAAGTTAATGAAAATCACTTAAAATGAGTTGGAACAGAAACCAGCATCAGAGTCTCCACTGAGCTACACACGAAGGGCCCCACTATCGTCAGACACCTCAGGTATCAGAAGCAGCAGCACTAGACGCTGTAATCAAATTAGTATTTAGGGAGATTATTACAGAAGAAAGTTCGTCACTGCATAAACCAAGGACTTTTGTGAGGGAAATGTCCCTTTGCCTTTCACTTATTTACAGGTTGGAAGTAGATGACTATCTCAGTTGCATCTTACATGAATTGAAACATTCTAAAGAGCAGAAAAGAACAGGTAGAGAAGTTAAGTAGCTCCTGCCAAATTAAACCCAAGATCTCCCTGAATCTTCATAGGCCTGCTTCTCTCCCAGGGCAAGTAGGTGAGAGTCTCATTCCAGGAGCCCTTTGTAGTCGGCTGGCGTGTTTACTTGCTGCTGTAGCCAGCCAAGATGAATGCACCCTGGCCCTCAAAAAAGATTTCTTACCTCAATTTAACCTGACCCACATACTTGTGGTTGATTGCCTCTGAAACCAGTACCCATACTAGTGTAACAATATTAAGGATGCCCTCTGCAGCCAGTAACTGAAGCGCTTATTAAATGGTGGCTAGAGCTCTCGCCAGCATTGATACAGCCCCTCTTGCCCTCTTGGACCAAGATTGGAGCATTGGAGGTGGGGGTGGATGGTGAAGAGCAGTGCACAAGGTAAAGGATTTCCAGATGTCTCTTAAAATGTCATGAGTAAATTGGAAACTGTAGAAGTGTTAATGTGTCCTATGGACTCAATAGCAGAGTTTATTTTTGTTTTTAATTGCAAGGCTTCTAGAGTCAATGATTGTATGAGTTCCCTTACTCTAGCTATGCCTGCAGCTCCATCCAAGTACAAAGGAAAAACTGATGAGGTGGATTGGCTGTCAGTGCGGCATGCCCTAGCATAGTGCAGAACGAAAACTTGGGTGGGAGATGGAGGTGGGAGGTGGGAGGTGGGTGGAGGGTGGATGAGGGAGAAAGGGACTTTGTTTTACTTACTGATAAAGCTTTGTGAACTAATTTTATACAATTCATAAAATTTGGTGCCTTGTACTCAATTATGGTTTGCATGAAATTGAAAAGATTAAAGGAAAGGATTCCTTCTTGTCATGTCAAGTGGCAAATGGGTCTTATGTAGTGTTTAAAGAACTTTTGGTCTTACAGATTTTTAAAAAGCATTTCATATCTCTTGTATGTGAATGCAAATTATTCTTACCAGCAAGTTCCAAAATGTTATTGTTAATGTCCAAACTGTTTGTATTTGTAGTAATTTATCAAATGGCTGTCTTTCTAGATGGACTATATATGCCATTGTTGTTCACTACCCCTTGTATGTTCCAAACATTAACTCCGGCCTTTTTGGGCTAGGAAAAAAGTCCAAGTTGCCCTCCCTGAATGTGTTAGTATTCCCTAGCTGGGGTTATAGCTTATGAATGGAAGGGTTGCTTTTCCAGCTGGTCAGGAGAGCACAAATGATCAAGAAAGGCTTTTTCAGTCTTTATTAATACCATGACTGAGGCTGGAGGTATGGTTCAAGCAATCGAACACCTACCTGGCAAGCTCGAAGCCCTGAGTTCAAATCCCAGTGCTGCAAAAAAAGAAAATGATGCTGGGCAACCTATGGTAGAGGCCAAACAAAAATGATTCCTCCTGAAGTGGTACCCTCACTGATTCTGACATTCTTTTGCACAAAATATCAGGAAGCAGTATAGATAACAATCCCCTATATGTGAACCTTTAGATTTAAGGCAAGTCAGTGCACTGTGTAATACACAAAGGGAATGAGGCAAAAGCGAAGCCCCCATCCTGCCCCCTCACACGATTTTCTAGGCAGGTGCTGAGTGGGATGTGCTGAATGGCTGTGGAAGGTAGGAAGACCCAGCTTGCTCGATGCAAGGCAGTTCACAGCCTGTTTTTTTTTCACTCCAGCCTAAGGTTTCCACTGAACTCATCAGACTTCATCAAAAGATGGTTAAAAGCTTGCCATTCAAAGCACATTTAATAACGGGGTTCCTCAGCCTAGTTAAGTAGGTGGAGAGTTGTATCTTTGGGGTAAAACTTCCTAGAGCCACTTAGTTTTTACCAGGTAAGTATATACATCTCCCTAGTGATTTATTCTTTTTGTTAGGACTAAAATGGAAAAGCGCCCTCTGAATAGGACTGCAAATTTCGTTTGTATCCTTCATGTTTAATAGCTGTTCTCTTGGTCTAGGGCTGTGACTACTATGTGCTTTTTCAACCCACATATTGCTACTATAGCATTGAACCACACAGTTGTTTTTGTGGGTTATCTGTTTGTACTTATCCTGGCATATTTCATCTAAAACCCAACTAACTCCTGGGGATGTGGCTCAGTGGTAGAGTGCTTGCCTAGTATGCTTGAAGTCCTGGGTTCAGTCCTCAGCACTGCAAAAAATAAAATCCAATTAGCTATAGCTAGATATTTTGAAGTACTATATGTTAACTAGCCAGGACTGAAAAGTGTGTCAGGATCTAAAAACGACTTTCCCTAGGGAGAATGTTGTATTGGCAGTGGTGAAAGCCAGAATTGTCATTCACAGAAATAAGGATTATCTCTCAAAACTTTTGAAAATTGTAGATTTGGAAGCTTTATTTACTAAAGTCTTATCACTTTGAATAATTAAGCCAGTTTAAATGAAACTTTACCCAATCTACATTATGGCTTTAAAAGCCAATCAACAGGACTGGAGGCATGGCACAAGTGGCAGAGCACTTGGCTAGCAAGTGCAAAGTCCTGAGTTCAATACCCTGTACCGAAAAAAAATTCTTTTTAACAAAAGCCAATATAGTAAATACTGTTACTTGACAATAACCATTAAATTTTGAGTGAATTTTGAATTATGCTTTTGAAAGTTGCCATGTGTTAATTCTTGCCGGATTTTGATTGTCTACTCAGTTGTGAGTAGATTAGGTAGCAAGTTTTAAGGATCTAAATTTCATTCCTAAATTTTTATGAAATAAAACTGTTCAGTTGTGAGTAGATCAAGTAGTAAATTTTAAGGATGTAAGTTTCAGTCCTATAAAGATCAGGAGGTGCTAGTATTTTTCATTTTAGCAGTGGTCTGAAGGGGTTCAGCATCTATGCTGTGGCTTACAAATTTCCTTCTGGTCACCACTTACGGAGAGGTGATAGCTTCAAATTTAAGTACTGCTCTCATATTCATGACCATCCTTCATCTTAATAAGATATACACCCCTCAGAGCACCTATTATCCCAGCATAGACTTTAAAAAAGTTTTGTTTAATATTAAACCAACTCCAGGCATGAATTCACACAAGCTCATAGTTTGTTCCTCCTATCAGGATCTATGAGTATTCACGAGAATGGTGTGCCCCTCCCACCCCATCTCACCACCTTTCCAACACAGAAGAAAAGAAATCTCAACAGCTGTCCTCTTCTTTCCTTTTTTGTCCTGGGCATCAAACCCAGGGCTTTGTGCATGCAAAGCAAACGCTTTGTCACTGAGTTACACCTCCAGTCCTCAAACAGCTTACCGAGATTCCTGCCAGCAAGATCAAAAAGGCTGTTTTGTCCTGTTCACCTTTAGTGGTAGAGGTACTAAGCACTAAATTACTAATGGCAACATGTGTAACAATTACTGCATGGTTATACTGATCCACCTTTCTAATTTATGTCTGTTAATCCCACACCAGTTCCATAGGAGACCTGGCACATAAACTCACTATTTCTAAAAATGCCTAGTAGAGTAAGTCAACTAGAAACCAGTTACCATGGAGAACTACCTATCTGTCTCCACCTCTCTATAGCTACATGAGTCTTTCCATGCCAATTCTTTCCATATACCATTCCAAAGAACCCCAAGCCCCTGGACAGTGGCACTAGCATGAATTTTAGGGTCAGAAAGCTTCTATTTCCCTATGAAAGAAGCAAGCAGCTTCCTTCCACCTTGCCTCCACATCTGCCCTCTTGCTACCACCAAACCTCACTCTGTTCCAAAAACAATGCCTCCCTGGTGCCTGGAAAACCCACCTGGTGCACTGAAATGCTATGCAACACCAAATGGCTTTTCCCAAGTACTACTCAACAGTGGAAATGCCTCAGTGATAAGCTTCATGTTATGTTAGCATCGACGTGTAGTGGGTGGTTGCAGTCTCCACCTCTCTGTCTTTTAAAATGAGGCCAACAACCTCCATTACAATCCATGTTTGGGACTTGTTCCTGTCTCTTTTGAGCGTGAAATAGAAATCATGTTTTTATGATTTTTGTAAATCTTGACTTTTTACACCTTGTTTTGTAAGCGGAAGTTTCTTATTAAAAGAATAAAATGCCTGTCTCAGTGTGTAGTCTTTATTTCAAATATTTGTTAAAACACCACTATTACTCCTTAGGACATGAACAAGGATCACCCCTGCAGAAACTTGGGAACTATGTACAGAACTTTATAGAACAGAGGCAACACTTCAGCTAAAGCTGACTGCTGACCAGAGAAGGGAGTTAAGGAAGGAGAAATTTCAGCTGCCATCCAGCCTTATCTTGTGGTGGTCACAGATGGTAGGCTCTGTTTTTGGAAGGTGTGGATACAGCACAGGAACTCCATTTGTCTACAATCAGATGAAAGGTGGCATTAGAAATGGAAAAACACAGGAGGAAAAGAGGGATTCAAGTCTCTCAAATATCTAGAAACACACTGGGGCTGGTGGTGCAGCTCAGGTGATAGAGGGCCTGCCTAGAAAGCGCAAGGCCCTGAGTTTAAACCCCAGGATCACCAAAAAAAAAAGTAACACATTTAACTAGGAATAGCCAAGGATTTTACATCCTCTCTTTCCTACATTTCATGAATAGCTGATATAAATCACTGCTTCTCCGCCTTCTCTCGAACTCCTAAGATTGGCAGAGAGGTGCTTACCTACTTGGCTACACTCCTGGCTGAGGGGCCATTAGGTCAATGTCACTGAGGTTCCTAGCCAGCCAAACTCCGGCAGCAAAGAGTCCCAAATTGAGGATCAAGTTCCTGGATAGAGAACACAGATTAATCCTGTGGTCACTGAATCACTACCATGGTTAAAGAAAAATACTGTGAGAAAGGTTTCCCGTCACTTCTTATGGCTGACAAATGGTTGTTACAGGGTACGCTGCTCAACACCCGTACGGGAATGTGGCGTTCATTTCTGAGTCCAATAGGGGCAAGGCCAAACGAAAGGCCTTAGGCACTCTACCAGGGCCGAGAAGCCGGTTGTGTTCGAGCCGCCTCTTCCCCAGACCCCAGGGTCACGATGACACCCTATACACAGTCTGCCACATGACATCGATTTTGCCACACGGGAATTCTCCCGGTCAAAGATCTAAGCCAAGAACACGAAGAGGCCACTGAAGCTAACGTACAAAAAACTCCGGCGATGCCGGTGTCGCCAGGAAGGGAGATGAAGGAGGTGCACACGAGCGAGGGCCCACGCTCCCCGAGATCGGTTACCTCCGGAAGTCATTCCTGTCGGTGGCAAAGCGGTAGACGCCCCGGAGCCAGTCTCCCACATTGTCCGGAATCTCTGGGGCTTCATTTGCCGGGCCAGCAGCGTTCACCGTCACGCCGCTGGAAGCCATGATAGCACCTCCGATCTCCGCTCGGGTCCCGGACCGCGAGCAGTACAGGCGCCGGCTGTCGCGCAACTTCCGGCCTCCGGCACTTCCGGTCTCCGGCAGAGGGCGCAGCCTCTCGCTTTGCGCTCCACGCTCTGAGAGGCCGGCCCGCTGCTGCGCGTCCACCCGCTCCACGCGGGGTCGCGCGCCGCCCAGCTCTACGGTCGCCTGCCTCAGGTCCAGCCTCCAGGTCCCTCCCGGCTTCGGGCTCTGCAGCCGGTCACCGTCACACGTGCTGAGTAACCATTGCGTTAGCACAGGAGCTGGGGGCGGGGCCTGTGGGGGACAACTCTACAGGGAAGCGTAGCTTTGGGGAACAGGGTTCCCAAGTGTCCATGAAGTCATAGGACGCGTGGTGCCGAAGGGGACACACAACAAGTCTGTCGTCGCCCTGCCTTTCCCAGGTTGCCCCCTAATTGAGTTCATCCTAAGAATTTTATAGAGGTTGGAGAGCCTTGGTCTCCCGCCTTACAGATCCTCCGCCCCACATTCCCAGGCTGCGCCACTAGCAAAGGGTGCAGTGCTTCCTGGAGGTGTCGCTGTCATCTGCCTGAAGGTTTCCGGGGGTCTTCCAGGCCAGGGGAAGGCGCTGACCTAAGAAAAAGCCTTCGGGTTCCGAGTCAGAGGAAGAAGAGCAGGTGGGGCAGGAGGCGTCCTCCGTGAGATTATGGGGCGTCTCCAGGCGCTCTTGCTCCCGCCCTTCGGGTGGCCCACTCTGAATCCCCAGGCTGGAGCCGGCGGCAGCGGCGGGAAGAGCTGCTCGGGAGATGGTCCCGGCCTCCAAGGAGGCGCGGTCCTGTGCTTCGGTTCGGTGGCGTCCTGACTCCCCGGTTCCTGGCCGGGTCAGAAACGCCTGTCTCAGACCTGCACCAGGCTTGCACAGCGAGCGGCTGGAGCTTAAGCCAGGGTTGGGCTCAGCCTCCCGCCCCGCCCCGCCCCGGGCCATTTGCGCCGCCGCCGCGAGTCCACTCCAGGGGCCCCCGCCTGTCCCCGCCTTCGTCCACCAGTGGGAGGCCTCGTCCCCCGCCCGGGAGCGAGTCCGGCGCCGCAGCCCCGACCGTGGCGCGGGGTGGGCTCCGGAGGCCCTTGGAGCGCTCCGGCCAGGGACGCGCGGTGAGAGCTGCGGGCCCCGATGCTCGGGTCTGGGGGTTGCGGTGGGAGGACGGGGCGCTGCTGGAGGGATGGAACGGCGTGGGCCCGGGGCGAGGGGCCGGCCCTCTGCTCTGCCCAGCCTAAGCCGCCACCCCCTCCTTCTTTGATCTGTACCTTCTCCTCCCTTACCAAGGGACGCCTGTCCCTCCAATGCCGCCGCTGGGCTAGCGTTCCCATCGGAGTAGCGGCTCTCGAAGCAGCTGGGGCAGCAGGGGCTGCCCCCAGGCAGGGCATAACGTCCCCCACCCAGAGGCTCAGCGCAGTCCTGGCAGCAGAAGTGGTTCTCGTGCCAGCGCTGTCCCTCTGCCTCCGTGCAGCGCAGGGAGAAAATCAGCTGGGAGAGGGAGAGGGTTCATTCATTCATTCATTCGTTCACTCATTCATTCATACAATAACCACGCCTTACACCCAGTTAGCACTAAAGCATGTCCACGCACTCCCATTTGGTCTTCTCCGACACTCTTGGACATAGGGAGGACTGATTGGTTTAGCCAGGATCCCCCAGCTAGCAGGTGGCACAGCCAGAAGCTGAACCCTGGCCTCCTGGACTCCCAACCCAGGGCTCTGCGTTGTCTCTTATGCTGACATCAAGAGTCTTTCTAGCATGATTAGGCACAGCACTGAGCATCTTTCATACTGAGGTGAACATCTGTCCAAGAGTCCCTGTTCCAGAGAAATTCTGAGTCCAAAAAAATTTGAGAGACTTGGCTTTCAATGAGGAGAAGTTAAGGGGGCTAGTTCCTATCCTACCCCTTCCTGCAATACTGGAAGAGGCTGAAACCCAGGAGTGGGCCCCCTTGTACCTTGTCATGCTGGACCCTGGGCAGCCCCTGCCACCAAGCCCCTCTCTTGGGTGCTATACCTGGTCACAAGCAGGGCAGCGTGGCCGCAGCAACTCAGCATGATGACGGCCACAGTAGAGATGCCCCTCGTGGTAGAAATAGATGAGGTTTATCAGGGCCTGGCCACAGGCCTGGCAAGAAAAACAAGGCCGGTGCCAGCAGCGCTGCTTGCCTGCCCTGGCTGCGAACACTCCGTACTCTCCTGGCTTCAGCGGCAACCTGCACTGCAGGGCAAGAGATTAGGCTAGTCAGAGTCCCAGCCATCCTTCTAGCTTCCTTTCTGGCTCTTCCATGGCAACTGCAACCTAATCGTTGTCTCATGCTTTGGCAGACCCACCCTCACTGCAGCCCCCACCAAGAACTCCCAAACTTAGTTTTCCTTTGTTCCTAACATTTGCCAAATCACCAATCTCTAAATCCCGTTTCTCCATCAGAGTCCCAGAAGCCAGCCCCTTCTTCAGAAATGAGAGGGCAAGGAGTGGGGATGAGGGGCTACATACCTTCTCACAGGTGTGTCCTTCAAGCTTGGGAGGTAGCAGGCATGCCACCCCTTGTCCCAGGGCCTTCTGCTTCCTCTGGGCACAGAAGAGCCGCAGCTCCACCAGCTCTTCCTCCCCAAGAGCCAGGCAGTAGCGTTCCTGCAGACACAGGCCTCTACTATGCTGCTGGAGTAGCCCCAGCAGGCAAAATATCCCACACAGCCCAGAACTCAAGTCATGAATCGTCCAATGAACTAGATGAAGATTCTAGAAGGCTTAGCTGCTGGGAGAGGTCATAGAACCACAAGCGATAGCAGCACATATGCAGTGAGGAAGGGAAAAGGACCACAAAAAACACCTCAGTCTCACTCTACTGCCCCTAGAAATGGTCACCACCTAGGGCCTAATGGCCCTAACCACACTTAGCCTTGTCACCATATATCTGGGGCCTTGCTCCCAATGGGCCAGAGCTCACCATCTCTCCTGTTTGTGTTTTCTCTAATTTATTTAATATTCTCCTGCTTCCCCCATTGAATTGTAAGCCTTTAGGCTGGGTACACATAGGGCCTCAATAAATACTAAGCCATGCTCTCTACACTTGTACATTCCATTATTGGTTTCAAAAGTTGTTCATGTCCATTTCTCATTTGTTCTTGAACTAAGCATTGTGCTAGGCAAAACAGATATTATGGCAACCATTATGTAGATGTGAAAACTCAGGGAAATGGTTTCCCCCAGCTAGTGGCAGAGCTGGGCCTTAACCATGTTCCCTGACTTCTGGACCCAGGCTCTTTCCACAGTAAGTAGTGGGGGCAGGGGGGGGGGAGGCAGCGACCTACATCACTGTCCTGTGGAGGGAGCTGCTGCAAGAGGCTCCGAAGCTCAGGCCACTTGGAGGTTTGGTTGGTGTCCAGGCGAGGCAGGCCCAAGCTCAGCATGGCAGGACCCTGAGGAGACAGAAGGGAAAGTGTGAACTTAGGTTTTTCCTTCCTTTCCTTCTCCTCCAATCTAGAAAAACTTCTAGCATCCCTCTACTTGGAGGACATTCCTTCCAGATTGAGCATAAGGACAGCAGATCCTCTACTTTCTGCGGCCTGCCTTGAGGGCACACCCAAACGGCAGCCCTTGTACTCGGAGCCCTCTTCACTCCTTGGGGCTTTGCCCTTGGAGTCACCCCCTTTACTCCTTAGAGTCAACGCCTGCCTGTATGCTTTGGCCACACCAACCTCCTAATATACATTCTTGTGTGAATGAATTTAAAATCAAACCCCAATGTCCTGAGGAGGAGACAGGAATTCTGGAAAGAGAAAGGGGACACAAGAAGTTAGGCACAACCAGGTATGGTGTTACATGTCAGCTGCTCAGGAGGCTGAGGCAGAAGGATGGAAAGTTCAAGGCCAACCTGAGCTATATAGTAAGACTCTGTCTCAAAAAAAAAAAAAAAAAAAAAAAAAAACAGAGCTGGGAATGTAACTCAGCAGTAGAGTGCTTGTCATGCTTGTCTAGCATGTGTAAGGCCCTAGGCTCAATCCCCAGTATTAAGAAAAGGAAGGAAAGAGAAGGGAGGGGAAGGAGGAAAGAAGGAAGAAAAGGGAAAGGGAAGGAAGGAAAAGAAAAAAGAAAATTACCTCCCAGTTGGTGGAAAGGGAAGCAGAGCCAAAGGACAGAAGGCATTTTGGTCTCAGGGAAGGGCAGGACTCTTCCTACCTGAGCAGAGGTATCTCCAAGGTCTTCCTCTGGCAGGTGGCTTGAGTCACTGTCTGAGTTTGTTGATGTTCCTGGCTCCTTTGTTGGTGTTCCTGGCTTCCTGGAGATGGGACTGTCCTCTTGGTGGGACCAGCCAGACCTCGGCACTAACATTGGTGACAAAGTCTTCCCCAAAACAATAAAAACACTTAATTCACTAGGCCCTCACAGTGCAGTAGGCAGTGCTAGTGTTTTACAGGTATCGTCTCACTCAATCCTACCAACAAAAATGTGACTTAGATAGTATGTCTCCATTTACAGATGTACAAACTGAGGGTCAGTGAGCATGAATAGTATGTATCCACGGTCAAACAGCTAGTTAGGAGCAGTCAGAGCTTAAGGCCAGGCCTTTCAGGATTTGAGTTTTTGAAGTTCAAACTCTGAGGTTTTCCAGGATTGGGATAGAGAGAAAAGGAGGCCCACAGTGGAAGGAGAAGGCATTTTGCTTTCTGGTGAGCCTTGGGCAGGCTGGTCCTTTCCTCTTCTCCCCAACCTTAACTCCCACCATGGCTCAGTGTACCCGCTGCCCAGGAGTCTGGCTCCTCCCCATTCCCTCCCCAAGCCCCACTTTCCAGCTGTGTAACTTTAGGCCTGGTTAACAAACCAGAACTCTTCGCAGTTTCTCTGATCCATACCAGTTCTCCTTTCCCTGAGCTGTAGAAGGAAGCATGGTCAATGCCCCCAAGATATAGCACCTGATGCTTCTCCTTGTTTACTGCATCTTTCAGTTCCTCATCTAGCCTATGAGTTTCTCAAGGACAGAGGAAAACTGTGCTATGTATAGCGCAATTTCTTTCTTTCTCTTTTTCTTTTAAGGTGCTGGGGATTGAACCCAGGGCCTTGTGCAAGATAGGCAAGTGCTCTACCAATCAGCAACATCTTCAGCCTCTATAGCAGCAATTTCATTGGATAATCTTAGTGCATCTCTTTAGCCTTCCTCTCAGCTAGCCCTGATGTGATCAAGGTGTCTTGGAGGTGGAGAGTAACTACTGAAGTAGAGAAGAGTTGGGCCCTAGCATCGAGGAGCTCATAGGCTAGTGAATGAGGCAGGCGAAATGAAACAGAACTGGAGCAGAGCTCTAGTTAGATATACACACACTGGAGAAAAAAAATATCAGTGCAAACTTTTGTTTACTCTGTGCCAGACACTATTCTAGAATTTTACACAGTATGGTCCAACTTCACAATGATCCTATGAGATAGTTTCCATTATCAAATTTTATTGATGAAACATTTGCTTAACTAACATGCCCCAGATCATGCTAGAAGGCTAAGTGAACTCAGGAGGTGTTATTCTCTGAGAGCTGGGATGGAGTTGCAGCTGAGCACAGGGAGGCCATCCTCAAATCTCCGGCCTCTGTAAGACCTGGTTTTGGGGTTGGACTATATCAGTTAGAGTGCTTCCCAGCCCTGAACGGGCCTCATCCCCTGCCCCCCCTTTCAAATGTCCTGTGCCACCCTTCCCTATTTCCTGGTTCCACACCCACCTGCTTCCTTCCTGCTCTGTCCCTCAGGTCAGGTTTCCTGTGGAAGGTGGCCAGGATGAGCTGTCCACACTGAGGGCCAGGAGTAGCCACTTCCCCTAACAGTGCTTCAGGCAACAAGGGAGGAGGCGGATGAGGCCCCAGGAGGGGACTTGCACCCTCTTCCATGTTGGCTGTACTTTGCATGGAACTGTCTGACACAGAAACAACCATCAGAAGTTCAGCCCTCTACCCATCACCTTCTCTTCCCCCACGGTGGCCTACTTCACCTCCAGCTAGCACTAGACCCCACCTTACGAACTTGTGGGTTTCCTCCCTCCTCCCTCCTGCGGATAAGGGATAGGGCTGAACCCTCGCTCCCACCTCCACGCAGGTGCAAACAGGATGAGGGGCGCGGATCTCCCCAACCCACACCTGCCCTGAAAGGCAGAGACGGAGAGCCCGAGAGACGGAAAGGTTTTCCGGGACTATAGGAAGGAAAAGAGAGGGGAGTGTCAGTCCCGCCAAGTGCCTTCCTGACAGATCGCCAAAGTTTTCCTAGGACTTCGCGGGGTCCACACGCGGGGCGGGGACACGGTGTCGTTCCCGAGTCCGCCGGGGCTCCCTGCCTGGCGGCTGGTTTGGGGGAGGGCTGGGGGACTCCGCTGGGGCCTCACCGTAGCCACGCGCCCGCGTCCGCGCAGTTCTGGATCTACCCGCCGCAGGACCCCGCCCCGAGGCCGCAGCGCCCGCGTCTGCCCGCCGGGACAGAGCTGCCCTTCCTCCCCCACACCCCCTGCCCGCCCCGCCCAGGCGGGTGGAGAGGGTGGACTCCGGGAGGGGCCTGGGGCTGCGGACTGAAGGAAAGCATTTGTGGATGTCGTGATGCAAAGGGTACCGGCTGCAGGTGCACCCACCACCGGTGGGCTTTGCGCCACCACTGCGTCCCTGCGGGAGCCGCGTGTACGCCAGGGTCTCAGCCACTCGCTGAATGGAAGTTCTTGACCGGGACCGCAGCGCCCTCGGGTCCCCTACCTCGGGCCTCAGCCCAGTCCTCGCAAGAGTTTACCTCCAGCTCCCTCCCCATTGTCCCCAGAGGTCCCCCAGATCCTTCAACAGCCCTCCTCCTGGATCCCTGGTCTGGATCTTCTCCCTCGCTCGCCTCAGACTTTCTCCCCTACACTTCGTCTTTTCTTTCTGCTGGGCGGAGTGCCCCCTACCTGCCCGGCAGTTCCACCCCGCCCCAAGGTTCCGCCCCACCGCCCAAGGCCACGCCCCTCTCCCGTCAGGATTCCCCGTCGCGGGCCGGGAGCGCCCTCTGGCGTCTGCGCATGCTCCCTGCTCCCGACCGCAAAGTCCTCCAAAGGGACCTTCTAGGCTGCGCGCCGGTCGCCCCCGCTCGGGTCCGCCCGCCCGCAGCGTCTCGTTGGTGCTGCCGGCGACCTCCGACCCCGCGGGCGCGGGGCGGGGCGGGGCGGGGAGGCCTTAGCTCCGGGCGGGCGGCGGCTGCTGCAGCGGGACCCGGGAGCGGGGCCCGGCGCCGCCCGGGCTGCGGGGCGATGTGAGTCCGGGCGCAGCGGGGCGGGGACGAGGCAGCTCCACCGAGGCCGCGCCGCACCGCAGTCTCCGCTCCCTCCCTAGGAAGCCCCGGGCGGGCGGGCGGTGAAGCCCCGGGGCTGGGGGCGGGGATCCAGGCACGACGAGCGGCCCCAGTCTCCCCCTTCCTTTCTGGTGTCTAGAAATTCCCCCTGACAGCCCTGCAGCTAGATCTACCTCGCAGTCCCCAAACCCCACCTTCTTCCCCTCCCCCCTGGGCTCACCTTCGCCTTTCCTGGAGCCCTCAGAACCCTCTCACTCACTCTATGAATCCCCTGAACGCCCACAGACCCACCATTCATCCTGGATTCCCCCAGATGCTTCCGGGGTCCTGAAATTCCTCTGATCCTTTATATCCCCCCATTCTGTACACTATTGCCCAAATCCAGAATTCTTGCCTACCTTCTCCCAAGACTTCGCATATATTTTCAGTCCCCATAACCTCATCTAACTCCTGCCCCCAAATCCATACCTACCCTAGGCCAGAGCCCCCTCCCCTGTCCGACCCAATGCAATCCACCCTTAATGGATTATCTGGCGATATGTCCAATATTTTAAAGAGAAAGAGATGGAAACAGGAAAGGTGCAACCCCTCCCCCATCTTGCACCTTACAGTTCTTGTTTTCCCCACTCCCTGTTGGTAGTTTAAGCCCCAGTATTTTACCGAGCACCTATCTTTTACTAGGCACTTGTGCACACCGCCTTCAGCCTGTTTCCTCCTTCCAGAGGATAAAAGACCCAAGAGGATAGGGGGTCCAGGAAGCCTAGGAAGATTGTTTTTCTGAAGCAGAAGGGTGGAATTTCAAGGGTCTACAGAGACTTGGTTTGTTGACTGTCTACCTGGGGCTGAGATGCCCTCAAATTTTGGCTTGTTAACGTTTATGTTAAAGCCTTTCAGAGCTTGGGGAATAGAAAATCTGTCCAGCTTCCAAATGTGAGACTGAAGGAGCTGTCCTGGAAGAGGAAACCCTTCCTTAGGGATGTTGGTCTTACATACTTACCTCTAGAAGTTTTTTCAGCTAGAAACTCCACTGTTTACAGATGTTTCCCCTAAAAACTAAGGAATTGGGGTGGGGGAGTCGACATGATGGAGTCTCCCAGATGCTTAGTAACAACAGACAGATTAGAATATTGGTTTTCTGAATCTTAAGCTCATACTCTTTTTCAGTACATCATAGTGTTCTTTTGTGAAAGCTCTGTGTAGAGGTAAAATTCTCTGCAAATTTAAGGTGGGGTTTGGGATATTGCTTGTAACATCATCCAGTGGAGGACCTAAAGGTGACTCAGAAGACCTTGGGCTGCCTCAGAGTTCAAACTCATTGATGCTAGGGAGTGTCTCCCTCTGAGAGCCCATGGAGCTTAGAATTTATGGTCCTTTCGCCCTTGATCTTGCTTTTTTCCTTACTGTTTCTGACTCATTAGGACCTGGAACATATATCCAAGTGGAATGGACTGACAACAGGTCAGTTTCATTTCACATTTTGGGGCAAGGGTAGAAGGTTTCCATGAATCTGTGGTCTCTTATCTCCTATGCTAGGTGAGCCCTAGGTGTGACCCAGAGGGATCCAGGTGACTTCTCTGCAGACTGTTTGCCATGACACCCCACCAAGGACGGAGGGACTAAAGTGGGAGGCCTTCCCCATGCCCGTCCCATGGGCAGCTCCCCGATGGCCTGGGTGAGGTAAGAGATAGGAGTCGGTTTTCTGGGAGTTTTGCAAGTTGGGAAGAATGAAGGGTACAGGTCACTGGAATGTTCAGTAGAAGTTCTAGAAGGATAACTAATTCTACTGACTGACTCATTTTTTTTTTCAGTACTGGGGTGTGAACTCAGGACTTAACGCTTTGAGTCACTCCACCAATCCTTTTTTGTGATGGGTTTTTTTGAGATAGGGTCTCACGAACTATTTGCCTAGGCTGGCTTTGAACCACAATCCTCCTGATCTCAACTTCCTGAATAGCTAGGATTACAGGCGCCTGGTTCCAATGATTCATTTCTTGCTGAAACTTTCAATCCCTTCAAACTTCTGGGTGGAAGTTAGTGCTAGAATGCTTGTCTAGCAAGCATGAGGCCCTGGATTGGCTCCCTAGCACCAAAACCCAGAACAACAACACAAACCTTCTGGTTGGGATTGGTCCATGTGTTTCTTGTTCCCTTAGGTCACAGGCCTGACAATTGTGACATACAAGTACCAGTACCCTGGAGGGAAAAACCACCTAGGTCTCTGGGCTCCCTTTTGATCAGTAGGGAACAATTGCAGCATTTTGTCTTTAGTACTGGAATCAAATTCAGAGCTCTATGCATGCAAAACATACACTCTACCCCTCAGCTACATCCCCAGCCCCAGCATTTTGGGTTTGTTACTGTTTTGTTTTTTTAATGGTACTCACACTTGCTAGGCAGGCACTCCACCAACTTTTTTTTTTTTGTGATGGGTTTTTTCAAGGAAGGGCCTTTGAGCCCTGATCCTCCTGATCTCTGCCTCTGCCTCCTATGTAGCTAGGATTATAGGTATGAGCCACCAGTGCTGGACTCCCAGCATTTTTTTTTAAATGAAGAAATACCCAGTCAAGCTTATACAGATTGTGCTGCTTTTAAATGTCTCTTTATGATGATAATATAATAATGCATTTGAAGAGAACAAAAAGATAAATTTCAGTTGGATGTTGGGATGGTGGTGAGGGAGAAAAAGAGAGAACTTGGATAGAGTGGAATCGGCAAGGTAAAAAAGGAGGAAAAAGAGAAAGGGGCAGGCCAGAGTATCTGGGATTCCCTAGTGACAGTGTCTTTGCTGAATGTGAATGAGGGCCTTGGACCAGTGCCCAACTCCTGAGGTCACTTCTGGGGCCTTATTATATCCAGGCATTTCTTCCAGCCAGGTCTCCTTCCCTACCATCCCATGGGTAAAACTCCTGCATGCTTCTTAAGGTCCAGATGGAATATTACCTCAGAGAAGCTCTCTCCATCCCCCTCCCCACCCAGCCCCCAAGCACAGATCCTTGACACACTGTAACTTGAATTAACATTTATCCCAGGTGTGTCTGGCCCTGGGTTGAAAGCAAATTCCCTGAGGGGGTGTCTGTGTCATATATTCTCTGTGAGAATAGGTGCTCACAGTGCAGTGGTTCTGCCTAGAGCAAGGCATTTTGGAGTTGCTGCTGGTGACCTGCTTCTCTTATGTTTTCCCCTAGGGCGGGTTGGCTGCTCTAACACCATGGGGAGCTGTTGTAGCTGCCTGAACAGAGACAGTGTCCCAGACAACCACCCCACCAAGTTCAAGGTATCCAGAGCCCCCTCTTCCCTTGAGTTTCCCAAGAAACAAGCTGAGGTTATGGGTTTATTAAGGCTCTCTGCTCTCACGGCCTCTCAGGGGCCTGAGGAAAAAAGGCCCAGGCCGCTGCTATTTTTTGCTTTTCTTGATACTACCAAGAATAAGGGAGTTCTGTAATGCTGTAACAAAATCAATGCTTAGAATGTTCACTCTTATTAAGTGTATTTTTGCAACTTTATACACACCTTTTTTTGAAGAAAACAGCAAAAGTTTGTATTTGTGAGTTAATGTGTGTAAAGTGTTGGTTTTTTTCTGGTGGTACCAGGGCTTGAACTCAGGGCCTACACCTTGACTCACTCCACCAGCCCTATTTTTGTGATGGATTTTTTCGAGATGGGGTTTCTCGAACTGTTTGCCCAGGGTTGGCTTTGAACTGCCATCCTGATCTCTGCTTCCTGAGTAGCTAGGATTACAGGCATGAGCCACCAGCACCCAGCTTTAACGTATTTTAAATAGTGCTTATTGGTGTTGCCTGTTTGCCTTGGGAAACCCAGGCCAGGCCCCATGAACCTATGCTTCCCACCCAACCTCCATCTCTGTAGGGGCGCCTCCTGCTTCTTGCACTGGGGCATGTTGAGGCACAGGGTTCTACTCCAACCAACCAGTAGAGGGCGCCCACAGCAAGGCCATACAGTTACGGAGGTGGAGGCAGGATTTATGTGTTCTGCCTTGGGCCTGACTTTCCCAGGATCTTCAGATTTTGAATTCACAGTTGAACCCCATCCTCATTGACATCTGTCCCTTGGATACTAAGCCATAGCCTTCTTCCCTCTCTGTCCAAATGACAAAGAGGTCCATAGGAGAGGGATCTGCCCAGGGCACTGCTGTGTGTCCTGCAGTGATCATGTGGTGTTCAGCAGTGTGGGTGGCAAACCCGGTGAGACTCTCAGGCTCTCAGCTCTAGCCCTTCATGGATCTGCCTTCCAGTGGCTCAGGGACCCTCACAAACTCCTATGGACACACTTACTGACTCTCTCCCCTTCCTTCCAGGTGACCAATGTGGACGATGAAGGGGTGGAGCTGGGCTCGGGGGTGATGGAGCTGACGCAGAGCGAGCTGCTGCTGCACCTGCATCGGCGGGAGGCCGTCCGCTGGCCCTACCTCTGCCTGCGGCGCTACGGCTACGACTCCAACCTCTTCTCCTTTGAGAGTGGCCGCCGCTGTCAGACAGGCCAGGGTGCGTACCAGCCCTGCCTCACCAGGATGGGGGCTGTGCACCTGGCCAGCCTCTGGGGTGAAAGTACAGCTGAGGAGATTTTGGAAGTTACTTTGGGAGTTTAAGAATGGGCTTGTTTAAGCCCATTCAACCTGGCCATCACACTTGGCAGATGTTGCCCAGAGAGGGGAAGGGTCTTGGCCAAGGGCACACAGCATGTTATTGCAGAACTATGTGAACTCCCAGGCCAGTGCTCTGTCTCTCTTCAGTCATTGGGGTTCTGCCTTTTTTTTTTTGGTGGGTACTGGGGTTTGAACTCAGGGCCTCATGCTTGCTAGGCAGGTGCTCTACCACTTGAGCCATTCCACCAGCTCTGGTTTTTGTTGGTTTTTTGAGATAAGGTCTCATGAACTATTTACCTGGGCTGACTTTTGAACTGTGATCCTCCTGATCTCTGCCTCCTGAGTAGCTAGGATTGCAAGCATGAGCCACTGGCACCTAGCTCAGTCATTTGGGTTCTGTCCTGCGTCTTTTTGTGGGGACAGTTATTGTACAGCCCATGGGAAAAAGGCAGTGCTCCCAAGTCAGAACCTGCCTAGCAAAAGTGCACAACTCTTCCCGTTGTTACTACAGTTTCAAGGAACCCTATTGACCCTCAGTAGGAACACATTTTTTCCTGAGCCCCCAAGTCATACACCCTGGACCTGGTACATAAAGAAAGGTCAGGCGGACACTCTGGCTGCTGTGGGGCTGAGTGGTTTGCAAATGAGATTTGAGGAGGCTGAATGCTTGGGTCATGTACAGATTAATCCTCAAGAGGTTAATCTTTGTCCCCATCACCTGTGGGCAGTGGAGAGTACTATATTCTCCCTCCCCTCTCCCTGCAGTCAGAGGTCAGGGGCTGGTGGGTTGTTCCACGAGGTCAAGGCATGACAGGATCTAGGATTGTCCCTTAGGACTCAGAGCTCTGCAAAGGATCCTGGGCAGGATTGTGTTGCACACAGGCTCAGCACATGGCTGCAGAGGTGGAGTAAACGAGCAGCTCTGCTGAGACAGCAACATGGGCCTGAGTCTCCGAGGTTGTTTGCTGGAGGGACCTTTCCCTTCACACATGTCATCCCTACTGCTCATGGGCAGACACGGGCAATGGCCAAAGAGCAGACAGAAAGGAAAAGGCTTCCCTGCTCCCAGTGAGTGATGGTCTGCCCCAGCTCCCCATGCAGGGTTCTTCCTCAACTCCAGGCTTTCCTGGTCTTTTCTAGCCCTTGACATATCTTGCCAGAGTAGCCCTTTTTCTTCCTGTGCCATCCCATCCCATTTTTACAAAGTACAGTTATCCTATACTGTGCCTGGTTGTATTAATAGTAATAGAATGTTAAGTATTTTCCATATCCCAGGCTAATTGTATTTATCTTCATTGTGAATATGTGCACATACACACTGCAAGTAGCTTCCCCTGAGTCCCAAGTCCCACTGTTGAGGAATCACAGGCTGGCCCATCCTCCAGGGCATCTTTGGATCCCCTAAGCTGGGTATCAGCTCAGCCCTGCTCTTCTCAGGGCGTTGACTTGCTGTGTTGGACTTGGAAAGACTGTAAGGCCAGCTGCACCAGGGAGCCACACAACTGCCTCACCAGATCTGCCTTTAGCTCTGCTCATCTTTTTATGCTCCCTGAGAGATCAGGGACCTATACTCAGGAAACATCCACTCTCTGGCCAGGGCACTGGGCTAATTATCCATTGAATGAGCGTGAACAGGACAGACCATCCTGCTCTCAGAGTACTGTACAGCAGAGCGTATTGAGCTGAGGGCTGGGGCCAGGACTGGAGCTTATCTTTGAGGTGGTGGTAGGCAGAGGACCATGGGTGAAACTTGTAAGCTTCTATGCATGGTTTTCCCTCTTCCCCTCACCCCAGAACACATATCCCTAGGGGAATGATTGCACCCCAGAGGAATATAACTGCAGTGTTTGGTGGATGGGAGTGGGTAGTGTGGGATGCATTGGGGTCGGCCCCTGAAGCTCTGGGATTGTGGAGTGCACTGGGAAGAATGCCCTGAATGGGGAGAGGCACTCCTGCCCCCTGCAGGCCTGGAGCTGAGGGACAGTTCCTGCACCTTGTGCATCTGTTAAGCCCCTTCCCTAACAGCCCAGGGTCAAAGGAGCCTCTTTTCTTCCTCTACTTCTCCAGGGATATTTGCATTCAAGTGCTCCCGGGCCGAGGAAATCTTCAACCTCCTTCAGGATCTGATGCAGTGCAACAGCATCAACGTAATGGAAGAGCCAGTCATCATTACCCGCAATAGCCATCCCACTGAGCTTGACCTCTCTCGGGGCCCCCAGCAGCCCAACGGTGAGAAGACCCCTTCCTGGGTACCCTGGTGGGCACACACATACAAGCACAGGCCAGGGAAGTATGAATCTAGGAGGCATGCACCAAGCTGTCAGATGGGGGGTGGCTGGGTGAGGCAGCCTTCAGGACAGTCATCTATCATCAGAACAAATCTTGAGGATGGATAAGTCCTGGGCTGGGCCAATCAGGTGACACTGAGGCTGTGGAATCCTGGGCCTTGTGTCAACTAATGGTTGGGAAGCAGACAGGAAGTTGGGTTTCCATGGAAACGGCAGTCTGGAGCTTTTTGGCTCCTTCCTCCGTCTACTGGGTCACACATATGCACCTCCTGCTGTATGCTGGTGCTGGAATCTCTGGCCATCATTTGTGGAAGGTCCCATGGTTTCTGCTTGTTCACTCCCTGAGATCAAGTCTCTGCCCCCTGTTCTGTACTCTCTGACTGACCTGGTGGGGCAGAAGGAATGGAACAGCCCCGTGTTTGAAGGGTTTCACTGGAGCTTACTAACAGAGCTAGAACAAGGTCAAGGGGTACCAGGTGTGTCTTAGGCATTACTAGTTGCAATGGAGAAAGTAGGAAGTTGGCTTCAGGCTGGCTTTGAGAGGCAGGGCTGGGTTTTGGGAATGGAGAGAAGGTGAAGAGCATTGGGGAGCCACCAGTTCAGTGGGCCTCCTGCAGTGGGAGCCCTGAGAGTGTCTGCCTTGCCATTGGAGAGGTCCAAGATGCACACACAAGTGACTGCAAGTGGTTGTCAAGTGGTTGAAGTCCTCCTCACCTGAGCTTGTCTCCCCGGGCCCAGCTCCAGGCTACTCTGTCTCCAGTTTCTCCAATGGCTTCCCTGGCTGCCCTGGCGAAGGCCCACGATTCTCTGCTCCCCGGCGCTCCTCAGCAAGCAGCCTGCGACACGCCTCACTTGGGGAAGAGTCCACCCACGTCCTCATTGCTCCTGATGAACAGGTGAGCACACAGCCAGCCCATACCCAGCTGCTCATCAACTTCCAGGAAGATCATGGGAAGGGGAAGAAACTTGAAAAGGGTCCCTTATCTGTCTGCAGAAGGAGGTAGCATCTCCAGAAGGGCTGGAGGACAAGGCAGAAGGACTCCAGCTCTTTTCTCATGTACCGCTCTCCTCGGATTCCATTCCTCTTTCTTCCCCTTCCTCCCAGCCCTTGAACCCTCCTGCTTCACTTGGTCTCTTTCCTTCACAGTCCCACACCTATGTGAACACACCGGCTGGTGACGAGGACCACCGCAGGAGCCGCCACTGCCTGCAGCCTCTGCCTGAGGGCCGGGCACCCCCGCAGGTCCGGGGACCTGACCAGCGGGACCCACAGGTGTTCTTGCAGCCGGGTCAGGTGAAGTTCGTGTTGGGCCCCACTCCTGCTCGGCAGCACGTGATGAAGTGCCAGGGCCTCTGCCCCAGTCTGCATGACCCTCCCCACCACAACAATAACGAGGGCCCCTCTGAGTGCCAAGCCCAGCCCAAGTGCACCTACGAGAACGTCAGCGGGGGGCTGCGGAGAGGGACTGGCTGGAGACTGAGCCCAGAGGAGCCAGGCTGGAGTGGCCTGGCTCACCGCCGGGCTGCCCTGTTGCACTATGAGAACCTGCCCCCGCTGCCCCCTGTGTGGGAGAGCCAAGCCCAGCAGCTGACCGGGGAGGCTGGGGATGATGGGGACTCGAGGGATGGGCTCACACCCTCCTCCAATGGTTTCCCTGATGGTGAGGAGGATGAGACTCCCCTGCAGAAGCCCACCAGCACCCGGGCTACCGCCCGCAGCCACAGCAGCTTCCCTGTGCCACTGACCCGCCGCCGTGGCTCCCCAAGGGTCTTCAACTTTGACTTCCGTCGGCCAGGCCCCGAGCCCCCAAGGCAGCTCAACTACATCCAGGTGGAGCTCAAGGGCTGGGGTGGAGACCACCCCAAGGGGCCTCAGAACCCCTCAATTCCCGAGCCCCTGTACCTGCCACACACCCTGCCCGCAGCTCAGACTCCTACGCCGTGATTGACCTCAAGAAGACCGTGGCCATGTCCAACCTGCAGAGGGCTCTGCCCCGAGACGACGGCACCGCCAGGAAGACCCGGCACAACAGCACTGACCTGCCTCTGTAAACGCCCGGTCCTCCACCTCTTTGCACTGTGGCCCAGCCTCTGCCTCCCACTCCATTCTCTGCCCCACCCAGCCCAGGGCTCAGGGCTGCGCTGCAGAAGGCATCGAGGTGGGACCAGATGCTTCCCTATGCTGCTGGAGTCCCCAAAGATGTCAGCCACTGAGTGTCCAGGTCCCCAAGCTGGGAGAGGAAAGGGTGACTGGGTGAGAAGGGAGCCACGATGTAAGCTGTGAAGGCCTCCCGTGGTTGCATCTCACACCCTCCTCTTGTGTCCGTCCATCTGTCTTGTTTGTCCGCTATCTGTGTATGGTTTTTTTGGTTGGAATTTTGAAACATTTTGTACCTGTTGATTTTATTTATCAGTTTATTTTTCTATTTATTGTTTTAAATGTAATTTAACATATTTATTATTAATATAATTATTTTTAAATTCTGGTTCAGTGGGTGATATCTTCTTGTGGAATCTTTTCTGGCATGGATCTGGGAAGGGTGTAAGGCAGGCCTAATAGAGGCAGGGGCTTAACTCACGGTGGTTGTAGGTTTTGTGACAAGTCTGAGGTCTTTTTTTTTTTTTTTTTTTTTTTTCCGTACTGGGGTTTGAACTCGGGGTCTACACCATGAGCCACTCCACCAGACCTTTTTGTGATGTGTTTTTTTCAAGATAGGGTCTCAAGAACTATTTGCCTGGGCTGTCTTTCAACCTGGATCCTCCTGATCTCTGCCTCCTGAGTAGCTAGGATCACAGGCGTGAGCCACTGGTTCTCGGCCTGAGGTCATTTCTCTATCTCCTTCAAGAAGCTCTGACCCAGAACTTAAAGTTGCCAGGGACAGATGTTCTGTTGAAGTAAAATGACCAGATGGCTGGAGCCTAGATACAGAAGGAGACTTGTGAGGGAAACGAGCCTAATGAGATAAGATGTACAACTCCGGGTTAGCAGTGGACTAGGGAGATATGGAGCGGGGAGGGTGCTACACAGATTCCCCTTCTTTGGAACAGGCCTTGGGAGTCGGTGCTCTCCTAAAGGTGGATCCAGGGTTCTTCTAAGCTGCCTTTAGCATAGCCAAGTCCAGGTCAGAACTTGAAACAGGATGTTACTGAAAGCCCAGGAATAGCAGAAGGAAAACACAGTATAATGTGTAACTAGGTTTCTGGCTTATACCGGAGAGCTTTCCCAGAACACTGCTGCAGGAGGACCATTCAGGGGTCTCTGCCTCACCACAGGCCCAACAGAGCCACCACAGTGGGACTTCCCGTGCCTTCCTGTAGCAGGAGCCCCCTTCCTGTCTCCTCGGGCTACTTTTTCTGCTTTCCTTCTCCAGCCTCCCTTCCTTACACACCATTTCTATCTAAACCCCTGTGTGATTAAAGGATTCCAGGCAAGAAGCAAGAGTAGGGTTTGTCAAGACTTAGGGATAGGCCTTGTCTCTGGTTACTGTTTGTGTCCTGGCTCCCAGTCCTGTAGCGCAAGCAGACAGATCCTCTTCCTCACTGGGGGCAATAGGCCAGGGTGGGGCTTGGCCCTCCATTTCCCTCCCCTGCCATCCAAAAGACACTGTCCAGAATCTCATTTCCTGGAGCCCCCTCCCCTGTGTGAGGATTGGACTGACGAGACCGTCCTGACCTTGGGTGTCACTTTCCACTTTGTCACTGAAATGGGCAGGGAGGACTGGCCATAACAGGATTGAGAGAGGCCCTTCAAATGGGGCCCAGCAGGGCTTAAGGGTGCAGGTGCTACCCCCTGGAGCTGGCACCAGACCCTCCTCGCCTTTCCATCCTTTTGATCTCTGCACTGGAGTGATCCTTTGCTGTGGGCTGGATCCATGGTGCCTCTTCCACACTGCAACAGGGCCGTGTTGGCCTCTGCAGCTTCTTGGGCAGCTCAGCTCTCCTGTGATGTTCCTACATGAACCCCTGTTCCTCTGAGTATCCTCCAGAGTCAGGAGGGGTGGTCTTTGCAAACAGGAGAGCCAAGCCACTCCAGGACCTAGGCCTATGGGTCCTGGCCACACTTGCAAGCCATGGGTTGTGCAGGCTTCCCTGACTTGTGGTGCTGGGGACCGAACCCAGGGCTTCATTCGTGCTAGGCAAGCACTCTACCACTGAGCTACCTCTGTAGCCCCCTGAGCTCCTCGGTTCTGAAGGACAGACACAGTCACGGGATGGCCTGAAGCTGGCTTAAGTAAAGAAACCAGGTTCTGGCCCTGATTCAGCAAGTGTCTGTGTTGTCTTAAGCATTTGGTTACCTCAACTGGGCCTCACTCTTTGCACCTGGAAGACATGGAGTAGTGTGACACTGCTTTGAAAGTAGACAGAGTTGCCCAGCACGATGAGAATCCAGCTGTTGAACTGGTAGAGTGGCTAAAGTGGCAGAGCACCTGCCTAACAAGCACGAGGCCCTGAGTTCAATCCCTAGTACCGCAAAATAATAATAATAATAGGAAAACAACAGCAGCGCCCCCTCTTGGAGCCCCCAAACTTCAGGCTCACCGCTGCTCCTTCGTGGAATACTCAGGAAGGAGCAGGCACCTGATTCTCTGACTCCGCAGAGCATGGACTCACACATACCCTCCACCCAGAGCAAATCACCACTGTTTCAGTGACCGTGTCTGTTGAGCTTGAGAGAGTCGAACAGTTAGGCCTCGGGAAATGGCTCCCAGCCCAGTGTGCTCCCTAACCATCCCCGTGCCCTCCCCTGGTCACTGCAGGAATTTTCCTCTCACGGGGAGGGCAAGGTGTGAGTGGACAGCTTTCCTGGCGGGAAGGGGCGGATGGCGCGATGCCCAGGAGGGCGACTGCTGCCCCTGTGCTGGAGCCTGGCCTGCCGACGTAAGGGTGTGGTGCACAGATGAAATCAGCCATCCTGGCCCAAAGATCATCACCAGCATCAGTGTGCATTTGCTGAGTGCTCCCTTCTCTGCTTTAGACGGGGGCCCTGCCCACCCCCTGGGCTGCCCTCAGGAAAGGACAGGATCTGGTATCCTGTCTGGGAGTGACATTTCAGGTCAGACCAGGCGGGCCCTCCGCAAGCCCACCCCTAGGTAATAACAGCACTTCACCAGGGTATAAACACCAGCGGCTTTTTCACAGAGACTCAGGCCATTTATCTCTGTCAGGCCTCTCTGTGCAGGATCGTTATCACCCTGTACAGAAGAGGAAACAGGCCAGGAGGTGAAGTGACTCGCCTCAGGCCAAGAGTTAATTAGTGGCTTGCAGCTGGGGCTGGATGCCAGTCGTGTGTCTCCCCCTGCCCCTGCTCCCGGCCTCGCCTGAAGGAGCTTTCGGCCCTCAGGTGTGCTGTAGACTTGGGGGGGGGGCGCCCCCCTACCCCCCCGCACAAGTGGGACCGGTCTCAGCAGGGTCACATTCCAGGGCTCCCACTCAGGAATCCCTTTGAATTCCAAGCCAGGGCCTTGCCCAGTTAACTACAGGGCGACCCTGCTCCTCCCCAGACCTGCAGGGCCCCCACTGGTCCACCCAGCCCTTCTGCACTCAGTCAGTGGGAGGAGGCCTGACCTCACCTGCTTTGCTCTCTCCTCTGCAGCAGACATCTGGGCTTCAGGGGAGGCTTTTCCAGGTGGGCTCAGGTCCGGGAGCCCTGAGCTCTGGGTGCTTTGACTAGTGCCTTAAATAGGAGTCCTGTTCAGGGTAGAGTCTCATAATGAGAGGCCATGGGAGGCCTGAGGTGCAGGGAGAGCTAGGCAGGGTAGCAGGGCCTGTACTTAGAGAATCACCAAGGATAGCGTTCCAAAGTTTGAGCCAGGACCCAACCAAGGGGACCTTCAACAGTTCCAGGAGGGTGGGCATCATGGGTCACACCTGTAATCCCAGGTACTCAGGAGGTGCAGATTAGGAGGAGTGAGGTTTGAGCCCAGATAAACATTACAGAGACCCTTCTCAAGCAACAAGCCAGGTATAGTTAGTGAGGCCTATGATCTCAGCTATGAGGGAGGTGTAGGTAGGCCCCAGGCAAAACACAAGACCCTATCTGAAAAATAACTAAAGCGAAAAGAGCTGAGGGCGTGGCTCAAGGTGTAGAGCTCCTGCCTAGTGAGCAGGAGGCCCTGAGTTCAAACCCCACCCAGTACTGCAAAGAAAAAAAAAAAAAAACAGTTTCTGGAGATGTTTATCCAGTCTGCACACACCCTTACCATCTCAGAAGCCCTGTCTCCCTCAGGCCACTTCCTCCACTGTATACTGACTGCTCCTGGACCCACACAAAGCCAAGGCTAGCCGCTCCAAGTATGCTGATCTTGAAACTCGGCGTCATCATTTAGTCACTTAGCAGCTACTGACAACTTGACCTGGTTGAGCTTTGGTTTGCTCATCTGTTGCACAGGGATGATAACAGTCCCTCCCTCATGGAATTGCTGGGAGGGTCAAATAAGAGAATGGCGACTGGCCTGAACCATGGCGACTGGCCCACAGCAAGCACTCAGTGAATGGTGGGTGTTATTTTCACTTGCACTTGCATCTCTCTACATCGCTAGCTGTTCACCCACCTGTGCTCTCATTTGACCCAGCACAGAGTGCAATACAACCTGACCTGCACCTCTGTGCAGCCCAGCACGTAGGTGTCTTCCCTGTTCTAGACATTATTACTCCTGCTAATGCAGCCCGAGTTAGTATTCGCTACACTGGCCCTGATGGCTATTGGGACCTTAAACCTGACCAGACTCCCCAGGTCTTTTCCATATGAGCAAACACCTGAGCGTTCCTCACCTCCTCCCCCTCGAACGTTGGAGTCCTTGGCTTATTCAAATCGAATGACCTAATGATCCTGGTGCCATTTCCTCTTGGCACTCCAGACTGTCTTGGAACTGAGAGGCGCCAGCTCCTGCTGGGGACCTGGAGGTGGTAGTAGACTAGGGATGGGGGCCCGGGTGACAGGGAGAACAGCTGGGAAGAGGTCTCCACTGGGCTGGCTGTGGTCTCTGGGCACTCAGCCTAGCGTTTCCAGGCCTCACTGTGTGTAGTGGTTGACAGGACACCTCCCTGGCCCCTCTGGCGTCTTCTCAGCCTTGCGTCTTGCTCACCAGGTAGACTTGTCTCTGGGCCTCTGTGGGCCAGTATCTCTGGGATGGACATTCCTGGAGAGGAGCTGGGAGATGAGGTGAGCAAGTATCACTCGTACCAGTTGTCACTGCACTGTCCCTAAGGAATTACTAGTGTAATGACAGTGTTGAGAGTGGACCATGATTAAGGCGCTGACTCCTCAGCCCTCTGCTCTGCTTCTTTAGCCAGAAGCTGTGGTCCCTTGGATACCCTCTCTGCTGCCTCCTTCCACCTCCCCCTACCCTGCCCCCTTCAACCTGGCCTGGTTCTCCTCTGGGTGAGA